GCTGAAACTGATAGTTTCGGCATTTTTTTCGATTTTACATGTAAAAGCGCTAGAATAATTAGTTCTGGCGTATTTCTTTTTGGTTTTACATGTAAAAATGCTGAAACTGATAGTTTCAGCGTATTTCTTTTAATTTTACATGTAAAAACGCTGAAATGGATAGTTTCGGCGTTTTTTTTCAATTTTACATGTAAAAACACCGGAATCATTAGTTCCGGTATTTTTCTTTTTGATTTTACATGTAAAAATGCCAAAACTGATAGTTTTGGCGTTTTTTTTTTGATTTTACATGTAAAAGCGCCGGAATAATTGGTTCTGGCGTATTTCCTTTTGGTTTTACATGTAAAACCGCTGAAACTGATAGTTTCGGCGTTTTTCTTTTGATTTTACATGTAAAAATGCTGAAACTGATAGTTTCGGCATTTTTATCGATTTTACATGTAAAAACGCCGGAATCATTAGTTCCGGTATTTTTCTTTTTGATTTTACATGTAAAAATGCCGAAACTGATAGTTTCAGCATTTTTTTTTCGATTTTACATGTAAAAACGCCAGAATCATTAGTTCCAGTGTTTTTTTTTCAATTTTACATGTAAAAACGCCGGAATCATTAGTTCCAGTGTTTTTTTTTCAATTTTACATGTAAAAACTTAAATAAACATTTTCGCAACGTTCTTTAATAAACAATGAAAAAAGTTGCGAAAACATTTTGTTTATGCATGCATTATTATATAAAAACGTTTCGCANTATGCATGCATTATTATATAAAAACGTTTCGCAACATTTTTTGTATAATAGCTCATTTGGCTCATGAGCCAGCTCGAGCTTTTTGAGCCAAGTCTGTTACAGGCTCGAGCTTTTTGAGTTGAGCCTAATAACTGGCTCGAGCTCTTCCAAGCTGGCTCGTGAGCCACCAAGCCAATTTAATCATGGCTTGGCTTGGCTCAGCTTGAAAAGCTTGAGCCAGCTCATGAGCCAGCTTGGCTTGTGTAGAGCACTATGTGAAACGTAATATTTTTAGGTTTCGACAATTTTGATATGTCAAAACTATTTCAGCATTTTGACAAATCAGAGAGCCAATGTCAAAATGTCAAAATAGTTTTGACAATTTCAACATGCTGAAACTCCCTAATTTCGGCAGGCAACTTTAATCCAAAAGCGCTCCTGTTTTTTGAGACTTCGTTAATCCACTTGACTAAAGGTTTTAATAAAAAAGTTCAGTTTTTTTACATGTTTTTAATAAACTGATTTTTTAAACATTCGTATAATTTTTTTTTTTACAAAACTTTTAGGTCGAAAAAGTTTTTATTTAAAAAAAAAATTTACTTTTTTTTTGGCTAGTAAAAAAAAAAGATTATCATCCGATCTGATCTGATTAAATCAATTGTGTAATATATCACGAGAGTAATGTTTTAACTTATAAGTATAATAACAGTATGAAAATGAAGGGATGTTCTGTGTAGTAATTTCAATTATCTCTTCTAATCCTTTTGAATTAAAAAAATTCTGCAATGTAATATTAAAAATCGTCATCACTCCAAAAAATCCATTTTCCATGACGTGACATTTTTTGGCAAAAAAAATAATTTTTTCATTCTCTTTATAAAAAATGGCTACTAATAAACGTAAAGGAGGTCGTCCATAAAATGAAATATGGAAGCATTATACACAAGGTGAGCGTGATTCAGAAGACACACAAGTAGAACATGTAATTTTTGTGGAAAAACTTATAGCAGAGGTGATGTATCTACATTATAGAGTCATATTGCAAACCATTGCCCAAACGTTCCACCTCACTTAATTCGAAAGTATCAAAAAGTATTTGAAAAGAAAGCGGACAATAGTAAAAAAAGAAAATTTTCTAATCAAATATCTTTATATGATTATCATGATACTGATAAACCACTTCCTCAAGGAAGAATTGACAAAATAAACAGAGCCTTGTTAAAGTTCTTTATATGTTGCAGAATATCTTTTCGTATGGTAGAATCTCCATTTTTCATAGATTTTATCAATGAACTTAACGTTGCATATGACCATTCATCTCGTGATCTATTGGCCAATTGCTTATTTGAAGATAAATTAGGTGATATCAATTCTAAAATTTGTAAAGAATTGCAAATATCGGATAATTTAATGTTAGGTATTTTATCTAAAAAAAAAAAATATTGGTGAAAATTTGTTGACATATTTAATTTATATTTAATTTTTAATATTAACTTTAGACGGTTGGTCATTCCCTAACTATTGATCTATATAGAACTTTACTATATTAACTTTAAATCAAAAAGAATATATATATCAACTTTTCAATTTATCCAGTGATTCGCATACGGGAGAATATATTGCAGAAAAGATTGAAGATGTTATCAATCGGGTTGAAGTATCAAAATTCTCAGCTATTGTCAGTAACAATGGTTCTAATGTTCAAAAAGTTCATGAATTAATTGAAAAAAAATTTTCAAACATAATGAACGTTCGATGTATGTCATATTACATAAATTTAATGTCATGTGACATAGTTCAACATCTATTCACTGATAAGCTTCTGAAAAAAGTGAATATTTTAGCAATATTCTTTAGAAATAATGCTAGAGCAAGTAAGAATTTAAACTTAAATGTAATAATTTTATTTTAATAACTTGCTAAATTGAAATTTTTTTTTTTTTTACAAAAAAAAAAAAATTTAGGTGCTAAGTTCCGTGAACTTTTAAACACAATGAATATTAAAGGCGATGTAATCGTGCCTTACTGTAAAACAAGATGGATGACTGCTTATAAAAGCATTGACGATGTTTTGAAAGTAAAAGTCATTCTAGAAAATGTAAATTAAACTAATTTTAATTATTCAAAACAATTTTTCTACACGTCCAATATTTAATATAATTAATAATTTTTTTATAGATGGCAGCTAATCATTCAGATTTATTAACAAATGATTAAAGCTCCGAACAGGTCGGTTTGGTCTGGATTATAGACGGTTCGGATTAGAGCTGAAATCCGTAAGAACCGAACTGAAAAACTGGCGGTTCGGTTCAGTTTAATCCGATTTTTATAAAAATAAGAAAAATCGAATAGCCGGCTATCTAGTGATCGTATAAATTCGGGCCATATATCATTGGATTCGTCTCGACGAGACGCGTCGAATGGCAGTAAGATCATGTCTCTAGCATCGATAGATCACACGTTAACCCATGCTAAATGATTTATCAATAATTGGAATTATCAAGCTATCTATCGGTGCTAGAGACATGATCTTAGCACCATTCGACGCGTCTCAGTGAGACGAATCCAATGAATATAAATTTGTTCGTGTACGACTACTG